TACAATGTAAGTGCTGCTCCAATCGTTATCCACAAAGTGAGAAAACAGGACATCATATTTCCTGCAACAGGTCCTGATGACTCAATAAGATCTATCATTATTTTGGTTTAGCTACCTAGCTTAACTTTTCACCATCTCGTACACCTTGACTTGGAAGTTGAGATTTATACATATTTTAATTTATTTTAAAGTTTAAATTTTAGCCAGTGGCATATGGGTTTTGGTCTGGGTGCCTAAATGAGTTTAATGATTAACATGTAAATAACCATTGAGATTTATTTTTTTAAAAAGTATGAGAGTGTTCCTGGTGTACAATTGGATTGTATATTTATTAGGAGAGTTTACCAGCAAATAAAGTTAACAGTGTAATGCACTCAGCTTTCAGTTCAGATGGTCAGGGACTTTTTCCCTTTTTGATTAGGGAAAGGCCTACAGCTCAGAATAAAATATTTTAGTTTCAGTTTGGGCAGTTTTGCAGAAACTGGATGTTTGAAATAGTTGCTTCTGAAAAAGGGAGGTACTTTAGGACTATAACAAAAAAGAGGTTATCACAGTGTAAGACATTTATTTTAAAACTTCTAGACCAGATTTTTGATTAAAACTCTGAAGGGATTATTTGAGGCTAAGAAAGTCTAAACACAGTTGTATGAAGAGACAATTCTCTGGTGTACGCGAACAGTAATGAGATGCTGTTAAGATGAACAGGACTGTAAAATTATTCGGAGATAGTAGGAACTGCAGATGCTGGAGAATGAGATAACAAGATGTAGAGCTGGATGAACACAGCAGGCCAAGCAGCATCATAGGAGCAGGAAGGCTGACATTTCGGGCCAAGACCCTTCATCAGAAATGGGGGAGGGGAAGGGGGTTCTGAAATAAATAGGGAGAGAGGGGGAGGTGGATAGAAGATGGATAGAGGAGAAGATAGGTGGAGAGGAAACAGACAGGTCAAAGAGGCGGGGATGGAGCCAGTAAAGGTGAGTGTAGGTGGGGAGGTAGGGAGGAGATAGGTCAGTCCAGGGAGGACGGACAGGTCAAGGGGGCAGGATGACGTTAGTAGGTAGGAAATGGGGGTGTGGCTTGAGGTGGGAGGATGGGATAGGTGGGCAGCCCTCCACTCCAATCCCAATCTCACCATAAAACCCGCGGACAAGGGAGGCGCCGTTGTAGTATGGCGCACTGACCTCTACATCGCCGAGGCCAGACGCCAACTCTCCGACACCACCTCCTACCGCCCCGTTGATCATGACCCCACCCCCAAGCACCAAACCATCATCTCCCAAACCATCCACAACCTCATCACCTCAGGTGACCTCCCACACACGGCCTCCAACCTCATCGTTCTCCAACCCCGCACCGTCTGCTTCTATCTCCTTCCCAAAATCCACAAACCTGACTGCCCTGGTCAACTCATTGTCTCCGCCTGCTCCTGCCCCACCGAACTGATCTCCAACTATCTGGACTCCATTTTTTCCCCCTTGGTCCAGGAACTCCCTACCTACGTCCGTGACACCACCCACGCCCTCCACCTCCTCCAGAACTTCCAATTCCCCAGTCCCCAACACCTCATCTTTACCATGCACGTCCAGTCCCTCTATACCTGCATCCCCCATACAGATGGCCTAAAACCCTCCGCTTCTTCCTGTCCCGCAGGCCCGACCAGTCCCCCTCCACTGACACCCTCATCTGCTTAGCCGAACTCGTCCTCACCCTCAACAACTTCTCTTTCAATTCCTCCCACTTCCTACAGACAAAGGGGGTGGCCATGGATACCCGCATGGGCCCAAGCTATGCCTGCCGCTTTGTAGGTTACATGGAACAATCCCTCTTCCGGACCTACACTGGCCCTAAACCCCACCTCTTCCTCCGTTACACTGATGACTGTATCGGCGCTGCCTCGTGCTCCCACGAGGAGCTCGAACACTTCATCCACTTCACCAACACCTTCCACCCCAACCTTGAGTTCACCTGGACCATCTCGAACACCTCCCTCACCTTCCTGGACCTCTCTGTCTCCATCTCGGGCAACCGCGTAGAAACCAATATCCATTTCAAGCCCACCGACTCCCACAGCTACCTAGAATACACCTCCTCCCTCCCACCCACCTTCCTGCAAAAATGCCATCCCCTATTCCCAATTCCTTCGCCTCCGCCGCATCTGCTCCCAGGATGAGGCATTCCACTCCCGTACATCTGAGATGTCCTCATTTTTCAAGGACCGCAACATCCCCCCCTCAGTGGTCGAGAACGCCCTCCACCGCGTCTCCCGCATTTCCCGCAACTCATCCCTCACACCCTGTCCCCGCAATAACAACCAAAAAAGAATCCCCCTCGTCCTCACGTACCACCCCACCAACCTCCGGATCCAACGCATCATCCTCCGACACTTCTGCCATTTGCAATTCGACCCCACCACCGAAGACATTTTTCCCTCCCCACCCTTATCTGCTTTCCGGAGGGACCACTCTCTCCGTGACTCCCTTGGCCGCTCCACACTCCCCTCCAGCCCCACCACACCCGGCACTTTTCCCTGCAACCGCAGGAAGTGCTACACCTGCCCCCACACCTCCTCCCTCACCCCCATCCCAGGCCCCAAGAAGACTTTCCACATCAAGCAGATGTTCACCTGCACATCTGCCAATGTGGTATACTGCATCCGCTGTACCCGTTGTGGCCTCCGTTACATTGGGGAAACTAAGCGGAGGCTTGGGGACCGCTTTGCAGAACACCTACGCTCGGTTCACAATAAACAACTGCACCTCCCAGTCGCGAACCATTTCAACTCACCCTCCCATTCCTCAGACGACATGCCCATCCTGGGCCTCCTGCAGTGCCACAACGACGCCACCCGAAGGTTGCAGGAACAGCAACTCATATTCTGCTTGGGAACCCTGCAGCCCAATGTTTATCAATGCGGATTTCACAAGCTTCAAAATCTCCCCTCCCCCTACCGCATCCCAAAACCAGTCCAGCTCGTCCCCGCCTCCCTAACCTGTTCTTCCTCCCACCTATCCCCTCCTCCCACCTCAAGCCGCACCCCCATTTCCTACCTACTAACGTCATCCTGCCCCCTTGACTGTCCATCCTCCCTGGACTGACCTATCTCCTCCCTACTTCCCCACCTACACTCACCTTTACTGGCTCCATCCCCGCCTCTTTGACCTGTCTGTTTCCTCTCCACCTATCTTCTCCTCGATCCATCTTCTATCCACCTCCCCCTCTCTCCCTATTTATTTCAGAACCCCCTTCCCCTCCCCCATTTCTGATGAAGGGTCTAGGCCCGAAACGTCAGCCTTTCTGCTCCTATGATGCTGCTTGGCCTGCTGTGTTCATCCAGCTCTGCACCTGGTTATCGCTATTGTAAAATTATTTTTCTGTTTTGAAATCTTTAAACATATTATAAGTAAACAGTTTTGTTTATTCTTACTTATCTTGATTTCCTTTGCATAGGACGGCACAGTGGTGCACTGGTTAGCACTGCTGCCTCACAGCCCAGGTTCGCTTCCGGCCTTGGGTGACTGTCTGTGTGAAGTGTGTACTTTCTCTCCACGTCTGCTTGGGTTTCTACCAGGTGCTTCGGTTTCCTCCCACAGTCCAACGATGTGCAGGTTAAGTGGATTGGCCATGCTAAGTTGCCCCATAGTATCCAGGGATATGCAGACTGGTGGATTAGTTATGGCAAATGGAGGTGGGGAACAGAGATGATGTGGGTCTCGGTGGGATGCTCTTAGCGAGTCGGTGCAGACTTGACTGGCCGAATGGCCTCCATCTGCACTGTAGTGATTCTATGATTCCATAAAAAGACTTGCTTTATTTTTAAAGCCAAATCTGCACATTTGTGTTTCAGTGAAAGACCATCTTGTTGAAAACCAAAAGCAAAATATGGTTTATGAAGCCAGGTTTCAGCGGTGGATCTGACTTCTCCAGTAATATCAGGTGTGATCGTAACCTTCATAAAATTCCCCCTCAACTTTCTTTGCTGCAAGGGGAACACCACCAAACTAATCTTGTAGCGAAAATCTGTCATCTCTGGAACCATTCTGGAAAATTTCTTCCACATTCTCTCAAAGACAATCACATCTTTCCAAAAGTAGAGAAAAGGGAACAGGGGACAGACAGGAAAGTGGAGTTAACACCACAATCAGATCAATCACGATCTTACTGAATGGTACTGAATACTTAAGGGATGAAATTGCCTATTCTCGCTCCTATTTCTTATGAACTCATTAACACTTGCATGGTGACCAGTACTGGACACAATAATTATGACCTAATCAGAACTTCGTAAACTTCAGCATAACTTCCCCAATGTTCCCCAAACCTCAATTTATGAAACCCACAATCCTGCATGATGTCCTGCACATGCACCTCCAGTTCTCTCCATCTGGACACACACATTAGAACTGTGCCATTTCATCTATATTGCATCTCCCGATCCTTTCTACCAAAGTGCATCACTTCACACTTCTTTGTATGAAATTATATCTGCCACTTATCTGTTCATCGTTAGCCTACTCATATCCTGTCAAAGTTGCTTATACGGTCCTCACTGTTCTCATTAGAACTTAGGGACATGATTTGAGAATTCAGGCCAGAAAGTTCAGGAGAGATGTTAGGAAGCACTTCCAGCTCCAAAGAGTGACAGATGTTTGGAACTTTCTTCCACAAACAGCAGTGGATGCAGGCTCAGTTGATTCTAAATCAGAGGCGTAAATTTTTGTTTAGCAAAGGTATTAAGGGATATGGGCTAAAAGCAGGCATATGGAGTTAGGCTACAGATCAACCATGATCTCATTGACTGGTGGACCAGGATCAAGGAGCTGAATGGCCTACTCCTGTTCCTATGTTTGCCACACCTCCAAATTTGGTATCACTGCTTTTGAAATTTTACTGTATTCCAATATCCAAGTCATTTCCATAAATCAAAAAAACAGCCGTAGCAGTAAGCCTTGGGAGCACCATTGTCTCCAACACTCAAGTCTGAAAAACAAGTCACTTACTTTGCCACTCCTCAGGTGTTTCTTTCCTGAAGCCAATTTTGTCAGTTTAAGTCGACATTAATTCTCCTATTCAATGAGCCTCCATTTATTTTTCAAAACTAGCCTGTCACTGAGGGAGGATTTCTAAAAGTCAGTGTCAAAAAGACAAAGGTGAGGGCACTCTACCTAAATGCACACAGTATCTGCAGCAAGGCAGATGATCTAAAGGCACAATTGACACAAATGGGCAAGATATAATTGCTGCTACAGAAACATGGCTATATGGTAACCACGACTGGGAACTGAATATTCACCATTTAGAAAGGGCAGCCAAAAAAAAGAAGATGGAGTTGCACTGATAATAAGGGTTTGGGTCAGTACGTAAGGAAGGGTGGGTCCCAGATTGGAAGAAAAATGTGTAATCTGTTTGGTGAAGCCAGGAAAGGGCAAGGAGCAGCAGGCGTTGTTTGGAGTTATTTATATGCAACCAAATAATATGCAGCATGGTATTAGTCAGAGAGAAGCACGTAGGACGGACAACACAATAATCACGGGTGATTTCAAACTGCATATTAACTAGATAAACCAACTGAACACCATCACTGTGGAGGACAGCTTTCTGGAATGTATTGTGGTATTCAAGTGGCTAAGTTGAGGAGATGGCTGGAGGACAGGCTATTTTCGATCTGGCATTATGCAATGCTGCAAGATTATTACGCTACTTAATTTTAACAGAGGAACATTTAGGAATGGATAACCACAACATGATAAAATTTTACACTACATATAAAGGTGAGATAGTTCAATCTAAGGCATGGGTATTAAATTTGAATAAGGAAAGTTATGAAGGTGTGGAGGCACAAGTTGGATGAGATGGATTGCAAAAGTACTTTAAAATGTATGACTGTACATAGGCAAAGGGTAATATTTAAAGAAATATTACATGGCTTACAGGAACTATATATGTTTCTTCAAGGTGCAGAAAAGACCAGTCAACCCTGGTTGACAAAGGAATTTTAGGATTGTACCAGTCTAAAATAAAAGGCCTGTAAAGTTATCAGAAATCTGAAGGTTGGGAGGTATTAGAATATGGCAAAGGACAAAGAAATTGATAAGGAAAGGAAGACTTTAATACGAATGTAATCACTGAAACCACAAAAAAAAAACTGTAAAAGCTTCCATGGACACATTTAAAGCAAAAGGTTGGCTAAGACAAATGTGGATCCATTACAGGCACAGTCAGAAGAATTTATAACAGGGAATAGAGAAATGACAGAAGCTCAAATGATTACTTTCGTGCCAATTTTTACAGAGGCAGATACAAGAAATCTCCCAGAAGTAGAGTCCAAGTGACTCAGGAGAAGGAGTTAAAGAAAATTAGTATTAGTAAGACAACCGTAGTGAAAAAGTTAATGGGATTGAAAGTTGATAATTCCCCTGGACCTGACAGTCTACATCCTAGAGTATTTAAGGAGGTGGCTATAGAAATACAGTCATTGCATTGTTTGTATAGACTCTGTGGAAAACTGTATAGATTCTGGAATGATCCCTGCAAGTTAGAAACAAACAAAAGTCACTCCTCCATTTTAGAAGGGAGCAAGACACATACCAGGGAACTACAGACCTGTTGGCTTTCATCAGCAGTAAGGAAAATGCTGGAATCAATTATAATGGCTGGGATAAACAGACACCGGTTTTAATGATCTCACTGGTAATAATTAGCATGGATTTGCAAATGAGAAATCTTGTTTGGCATAAAAGGAGATTTCAGGGCATTACTAACAAAATTGATAAGGGGGAGTCAATTGACAAAAGCTAGTTGGTCTTTCACAAAGCTTTTGATAAGATCCCCCAGAGAAGGTGGGTTAGAAAAACAAAGCACACAAGATAGGACGTAATGTACTAGTATGGATTAATGATTGACTAACAGGCAGAAAAGTGTGAGACTAAGTAGGTCATTCTCAAATTGGCAGGCTATAACTGGGTACTGCAAGAATCAGCACTTGAGGCCCCAACCTGATCGCGGGACCAAATGCAATACTTCCAAATTTGGAGATGATACATAGCTAAGAGGGAATGTGTGTTGTGAGGAAAACGTAAAGAAGCTTTAGAAGGATTTGGATAGACATAGCCAGCAGGCAAGAACATGGATGATGGAATACAATTTGGAAAAACGTGGAAATGTCCACTTTGGTAGGAAGAACAGATGTACAGAGTACTCCTTAAATAATACAAGGTTAGAAAGTGTAGGCGTACAAAGGGACCTATAGGTCCTTGTCAATAAGTCACTAAAAGGCCAATATGTACATGCAGCAAGGTAATAGGAAGGCTAATGGAATGTTACCCTTTACTGCAAAGGATTTGAGCACAGGACTTGCTTCATTTGTATAGAAGCTGAATTAAAACCACATTTGAAGTAGCATACACAGTTTTGGTCTCCTTACATCAGGAAGGATATACGACAGAATAAAAACCAAAAGAACTGCAGATGCTGTAAATCAGGAACAAAAGCAAAGTTGCTGGAAAAACTCAGCAGGTCTGGCAGCATCTGTGAAGGAGAAAACAGAGTTAACGTTTCGGGTCCGGTGACCCTTCCTCAGAACATGGACATACGACAGGTTCACCAGTTTTTTTCCCAGGATGGCGGGACTGTCCAAAATTAGGGATTGGGCAAACTGGGTCTGTATTCTCCAGAGTTTTGAAGAATGACAGGTGATTACATTAAAGCCTACAAAATACTTAAATGGATGGATAAGGTAGACAGAGGTAAGATATTTCACACTAGACAAAAAAAAACAAACAAAAGAACTGCGGATGCTGGAAATCAGAAACAGAAATTGCTGAAAAAACTCAATAGGTCTGGCAGCATCTGTGGACAGAAAGCAAAATTAACATTTCGGATCCAGTGACCCTTCTTCAAACTGACTGCAGCCAGGAAAAGATTGGTATTTATGCAGAAGATGGGGCCCAAAGGGAGACGGAAACAGTTGGACAGACAAAGGACTAGGTAAAGGTCAGCCTGGGAGAATGAATAGCTGCTAATGGGGACTAATAGTAGCTGACAATGGGTGTGTGGTAGCAGCCCATGTGAGAGCAAAGCCTGATGTGAAGGAACTGGAGCAAGGACAAGTGAGAAAGTGCTCAAGCCCTAAAGTTATTGAACTCGATATTGAATCCAGAAGACTGAAGAGATCCCAAGTGAAAAATGAGATGCTGTTCTTCCAGTTTGCACTGAGGTTCACTGGAGCACTGCAGCACGCCTGAAACAGAGGTGCTGGCCAGGGAACACAGTGGTGTGTTGAAGTGGCAGGCAACTGGAAGCTCAGTGTCATTTTTGTGGGCAGAATGTAGGTGTTCTGCAAAGCGGTCACCCAATCTTTGCGTCATTTCTCCAATGTAGAAGAGACCATGTTGTGAGCAGCAAATGCAGTAGACTAGGTTGAGTGAAGTGCAGGTAAAGTGCTGCTTCACCTGGCAGGTGTGTTGGGGCCTTGGAGGGTGAGGAGAAAGGAACTAAACGGACAGGTTTCAACACCTTCCGCAAATGCAGAGGAAGGTGCCGTCGGGATGCAGGGACATATTGGGAATGAAGGAAGAGTGGACTAGGATGCCCTGGAGGGAACGGTGACTGCAGAAGGCTGACGAGGGAGGGGAGGGGAACAGGTGTCTGCTCATTGGTAAGCTCTTTCCCCTGGTTACGCACTACACAATCAAGTATAATGTAAAAGTAAATCGGGATGCCACTTATGACAATGCTATTTTGGTTTTTTACTCAGAGGATTGTGAATCTTTGGGATTCTCCACAACAAAGGGCTATGGAAGTTCATTCTTTAAATATACTCAAAGTACAAATACATGTTGACTCCGCTTAATTAACTGAAACTGTCCAAGAATCTTGATTATTTTATCCAATAATGATTTTTAAAACCTTCCCCACACTTGTGATATTACATGGTCCAGCCAGTAATCATCAGGACTATCTCTACACCATTTTTTCCTCACTTTTGCCACTCTCCAATCAGTTGGCATCCTGTCTGCTTCTAGAGCAGATTAGGAAGTTGTGGTAAGTCTTTCCACCATCTCCTAGATTCTTTCAGCATTCTGGGGTGCAAACCATCCAGATCAGGAAACTTACCAACGCAAAGCAGAGCTAGCGCCTCCATATTTTCCATGAATTCTCACCCCATCCATCAACCTTACTGCCTCCACTTCATAATAGTTTGCAGGTACTCTCTTCTTCAGTCAACACTGATCAAAGAACTTATCAAATAAACTAACATTGTCCTGCACCTCTAAACATATAATCATCCTCTTTGTCCATGATCTGAGAACAGCTATATCTGTGATCTGATTGAAATAGTTAATTTGGTGACGTATTTATAGTAATGAAATGTTCAATTGAGCTCAAGGGAACAATACAAGGATGACAAGAAGATAGATCAAAAAGACTGCGAAAGGCAAAGAGGATTTTGTTGGCTCTAGTGCTATTCTGCTCAATAGAAGCATCTTTGGTGCACTATGATGTATTGGTACTGCGCACAGAAAGTAGAAATCAGGAAGTATCATTAGTACAAGAGTAGTGAGAGAACTATTGGATAGTGTTCACTCATGTGCCATACATACTCTTTCAATAAAGATCTGACCCTTTGGTATTGCAACTACATGTACGTGTAGACTGTTGTTTCAAATAACAAAATAAATTAGCAGAAAGCCATCCAGCACCAACTAAGCCACTGCTCACATTCAAGGCAAAGAAAAATTGAGGGAGGCAAACTATTTCACAATTTCCAACTACAAAACATTTTCCATTTATCAAGAAAGTAAGAGTGAAAGTGGTGCTACTTACCAATCCCTGAGTTGGCTCCAGTGACAATAACAACTTTGCCACTTAGGTCTCGACCGTGTAGAATTTCCATTGCAGCACTGTTTCCATCATATCTCTGCCGAATATTTGGTTTTTCAGATGCTTCTTCAACAGTAAATGCTAAGCGTGGATCCAGGTACGTGGTCCTTTTATTTATATGACTAAGAGAAGAGATGTTTTAACAACTTTTATAACTGATGTGAAGGAGAGATCTAAAAATAATCAAATGGGGACATAAAATAGACAAAATAACAATTCTACCCTGCTGCTTTTACCCATTCACTTTCGATTTGTATACATCAAATTACCAAATTAAAACTGAGTTGGGGTATTATCTTTACCACAAGCAGAATTTTCTCTTAGCCAGAAGCAGCTCTAAACCAAATCTGCTTTCTCTGTAGAAACTACTGGTTTAGAATGTGAATTTGTTGCACAAGTGATTCTCAATGCTGCACTCACTCTTTTCAGACAAAGTACCTATAAAAACTAATTAAAGGAACTTCCCCATCACCAGATCCATCCTCATTAGGAAAGATAAAGATAAATTGTTGAATAAAGGTATTTTAAGTCCAGAACCTGGATAATGGCCAAGCTTCTCAATACTGAGCAAGACAAAATTAAAAGTTAAAAATGAAAAAAGTTAGGCAAACTGTTGTAAAAAAGTGTGTGGAATGTTCAACTCTTCATCGCACCATTTCAGTAGGGGCATGTAGGTGAGGAACCCAAGTATGACAAAACTAGGCTTAGCTATGGCTCCTTAACTCAGCCACAGTATTAGCATCCTGTTTCGCCATTTCCTGGGCAAACCAAAAGTGAGAGATCATGCACCAAATCTGTCAAAAAGAAGAATTCTCAAAAATAGCTATTCCAGTCCCATCCTCCCCACTATCACAACATCCTGAACTGAAAGGTAGAGTTAAACATTTATATACTTACTCAACAAAGTACACTTGACCATTATCATCTGTTTCTCGTTCCCAACCATATGGCAAATCTGTAACACAAAGAGTACAAATTGTATGCTAATTTAAACAACACTAAATTAATATCCTCTACTGTAACTCCAATGAGGCACTGTGAGCACATGGGATTTTTTTTAAATTCATTCATGAAATGAGAGTAGTGCTTGCAAGGTATTTGTGACCCATAGATTGGAGAAGCTGGGGTTATTTTTTTTAAACAGAAGATCACAAGGGTATTTATTACAGGCATTTGAAATCACAAAGGATGTAGAAGTAAAGGAGAGAGAAATTTTTCTGACCAGTTAAAAAATTAAAAACTCATGGATGCAGACTTAAAATGACTGGCAAAAGAATCCAAAGAAAACAAAGGGAAAAGACTTCCTTTTCGTGTAGTTAGGATCTGGAACGTACTGCATACAAGTATGGTACAGACATATTAAACTATAGTTCAAAAAGAGAATTTGATAAGCACCTGAAGAAAAAGAATTTGCAGCGCTACTTGAAAAGGGGAGGGAATGGGACTGATTAAACTGCTCTTGCAGAGTAGTCATGGATTCTATAGGTCAACTGGCCTCCCCGAATGCAGGGAACGTTCTGATTTGTAGTGCAATTATATAATTTGTGATCTATAATTTAGGTATAACATTTTCAAACACTAAGTGCAAAGTTTATTGAACTGAGTATGCAACACTTACAGGCTAGGTCAGATTTTGCAGCAACTACAACACACTAGAAAAAGCTTGGTCCCCACAAATGTCAGGCTCAGAACAGAGAAAGCTTCAACTAGTTATAGTATTTAGCCATCTGACTAGTTTCTTAAATTTAGAGCTGGGAGGAAAACAACCTTTGTATGCTTTTGAAAAATCTAAGTTGGTATAATTAGTTTAGAAATCTCCCATAGCATTATTTAACATTTATAATCTGCAGCACAAATGTGACGTTTAAATGTGAAAACTGAACTGTATCCAATGTGGCCCATCATTTGAAGCCATTACTCAAGGAATTCGTTTCAGAGAGTGCTCTCAGTAGTAAAAACTTGGAGTTAATTGGAGGCCAATTCAGGCTGAAGTCCTTCTTTATTGCCAGAGAAGTAAATCCTGGCCGATGCTCATGAGAAATGACCAAGTTAACAACAGGGAGAGAGAATACCAGGCAACTGTCTACTTTTCATACCTGCTGCTGTCTGAAAAGGCAACAGACACCCTTCAGAAATATAAAAAGACTGGCAATGCATGAAATAGTACATGTATTCTGAAACACCTGTAAAGAACTGATCCTTGCGTTTTGTAATCTTTGAGATATATAAAGTATAAAAACATTTCAGTTCTAGACATGCATTTTCAATTACTTGGCAATATCACAATACATTAGTGCCCTTTACTCATATGAACGTGAGCCATGTCCTAATAAACGAACAATAGTCTGTTGTTAGAGACAACAAGGTGCAGAACTGGATGAACACAGTAGGCCAAGCAGCATCATAGGAGCAGGAAGGCTAACGTTTCGGGCCTTGACCCTTCATCGTTGTTTGTTCTTTGAGGAGAATTTTTTTCCAGGCCTAGATAAAAACTATGTCTCTTCATTGTGATTTTGATGCTACAAAGGAGCACAGAATGAAAAGAACAATACAATTCAAGCTATTTGCCAAAATATTTAAAAAGTGGCAACTTTAGGTCCTAACACAAGCCTTGATAGTTTTTTGAGCCTTTGGAAGTGATCACTTTTCTTTTGCAATGAAAAGCATCAGCAGGTGATCAAAACAATGTCACCGAAACCAAACACTGCTGAAAACACAACGGGTCAGGCAGCATCCATAGAGAAACAGCAAGCTAATACTTTCAGCCTTGATGACTCTTCATCAGTTTAATATTATTTGGGAAACAAACAGCAACTTTCAGCAAGCACCCATGCGCAGCAAAATGCGAACATCCATACATTTCGCCTAAAGGTGTGATGTTCCTTTGCAACCTTCCAGAAAGTGATATCTTTCATCTGGCTTCTCTAAATATACAAAAAGAAAGAGGGAAACCAAAGTGGACACAGACACCTGAGTCAGCCTGCTGCTGGTAGTAGGAAAATGCTACAGTCCATTATGAAAGAATTAAAAGCTAAGCATTTGGAAAAAGTGGCAGGGTCAACATGGATTTAGAAAACAGGAAATCATGTTTGACAAATCTACTGAAATTCTTTGAAGATGAAACTAATTAAGTTGAAGAAGGGGAGACAATTGATACAGTTTCTTTTAACAAATCATTCTGAAAGTCAAAAGTCCCATATAAAGGATTGTGTGTAAAATTAAAACACATAGGATTAGGAGTAGTGTACTGAGATGGACAGAAAACTAGTTGGCGGACAGGAAACAAAACAGGAGGAATAAGTAAGTCTTTTTCCGAATGGCAGGCAGTGACTAGTGGGGTACTAGAGGAATCAGGGCTAGGACCCCACGATTCACTATATATATTAGCGATTTGGATGAGGGAACTAAATTCTTGAGTAGATTTGTAGCTTGGGTTGTGGATGCTGTGGTTGGTTCGCTCGCCGAGCTGGTTTGTTAGTTCGTAGACATTTCATTACCCTGCTGGGTAGAATCATCAGTGCAGTCTGCGATGAAGCGCTGTTGTGTTTTTCTGCCTGGTATTTAAACTCTGGGGTCCGTTGGAATTGATTACCTCATTTCTGGTATTTCTTCGCAGTGGTGTATATATAGGGTCTAAACACAGAAAACACAACAGCGCTTCATCGGAGGTTGCACTAATGATGTTACACAGCAGGGCAATGAAACTTCCGCGAACTAATAAACCAGCTCGGCGAGTGAACCAACCACAGCAGGAACTAAAATTCCAAAATTTGCACATTACAAAGCTAGGAGGGAGGGTGAGCTGTAAGGAGGATGGAGCAATGCTTCAGTGAGATTTAGACAAGCTGAGTGTAGGCAAATGCAGAATAATGTGCATAAATGTGAGGTTATCCACTATGGTAGTAAAAACAGGAAGGCAGATTAATTATCTGAATGCAAATTGCAGCCAATGAAATCTGGGCATCCTCATATACCAGTTGTTGAAGGTAGGTGGGCAGGTGCAGTGGGCGATAAAGGCTGCAAATAATATGTTGACATTCATAGCAAGATGATTCAAGAACAGGAGTGGGGATGTTTTGCTGCAATTATACAGGGCCTTGGTGAGCCCACGCCTGGAATATTGTGCGCTGTTTTGTATCCTTATCTGAGAAAGGATGTTATTGTTACACTGCAAATGTAAGAACTAGGAGCAGGAGAAGGCAATTCAGTCCCTCAAGCATCATTTAACCACATCTCAAATTCTCAATAAGCATAACTGTTTTCATTTTGTATGTAATAATTCTATTCAAATCAATTTCCTCCAACAGCAGCTCATACCGAATTATCATGATTTTCAATCTTAAAATCTTGGCCAAACCTAATGAAATATACATTTAATCAAAAGACTCAGAATGCCACATATCAGCAGTGAAAAATCCAGCAATTCACTATACACGAAACTGTCTGCATAGGAAATGGCATTCAGCCCTTTGACTTGATCCAGCACCATTTAATGAGATAATGGGTGATCTGTGGCCTAACGACATATACCTGCCTCTGAAATAGCAAGAACTGCCGATGCTGGAGTCAGAGATAACAAATTGTGGAGCTGGAGGAACACAGCAGGCCAGGCAGCATCAGATGAACA